GTTGCTTGAGCGGAATGCACCCGCGAATTTGCTTGCCTTTGCTGAGGAGCACGAAGAGGCGGGAAATCCTCCGTCCGAAATGCCGGGACTTTGTCCTTCTTGCGTCCTGGTTGGTTGTTAGTTGCCGCCTGTTTTCGGATGCGTTTGAAGTCCTCTCGTTTGGAGCACTGTCTGTCGGAACCTTGGTGAGCACCACCACAGTTGGCGCATTTTAACTCCACGGCTCCATCCGCAGGGCAGTCGGAAGTGGCGTGGTCTTGAGCGCAATTGCCACAGCGTGGCTTAATGTTGCAGTTGCGGGTGCCGTGTCCAAAGTTCAGACACCGTTGGCACTGAGTCTCATCACGATGGCCGCCACGGTATGGCTCCCAGCGGACGATGATGGAATTGATGGAGCGGATGGCCTTTAGTGCGTTGAGCGTCACCGTTCCCTTCTGGAAGTGTACCAGGAAAAGGCTATCCGGATACGCCTTCACATTTTTGTCCTTCCTTGTCATCCGATAGACGGCACTTGGGGCCAGCTTGTACCGGTCTCTCTTCAGCTTCGATAAACTTCGGGTCGAAGTTTGGCAGGCCCCTAATGACGACCTTGAATGGCTTCTCACCGGGAATGTCGTGGGTGAAGAATTCCACCTTGGAAGTCCTCAGGTGGGCGACGACCAAGTCATACTCCGCTTTGGTACGGAGCACCACCTTGGTGCCGACTCTGCCCAACTTGTATTCGGCTGTAACGCCCAGCGTTGCTAGATCTGCGATGAGTTCATTAAGATGGGCATTTTTCACTACCAATGGAGGTAGCTTCACTTTTGCCGCACTCGGGCCGGCAGAATTTTCGTTGCCGATGGCGTCGCCGAAATCACCGATGTCGTTGGCGTTCGTCGCAGAGACATCGGACTGGCCTCGATTCTTCTTCCTCTTCTTGCTGCGTTTTTCCAACACAGCTGGCTGGATATTCCCGTTTTTCCAACACAGCTGGCTGGATATTCCCATCCATGGGGAGAACAGCAAACCTGTTCGAGGTAGGCACACCGGAGCTTCCTTCACCGGGGTTCTGGACCTTCGCCGGGCTTCGCGACCGATGCTTTCCCATTACGGGGCACACACACACACGCACGACAAACCGCGAAAGAGAGAGCGCGAACACTATCGCCACGAACTTTTCAAACAACTCGAGAGAGCGAGCTAACACCAAACTGAACTGCTTGACGCTCAAGCAGAAAATGATCAGTCCATGAGCAAAAGCACGGCAGCGCGCTGTTTTATATCTTTTCAGGTTCAAGCAGAACGATGTGCAACCCAACCTGATAGGACTTCCCGCCGTTTTTATGAATGGGGCGGAGCAAAAAGTTTATTATGTGCAGAATATGTAAAAAAGGATGGACTTTGGATGTTAATATAATTGCATATATTGAGGTACCAGATATGTTTTAAAGTCAGTTGTTGGTAATCCATCGAGTGTATGTCTCCTGTTAAGCAATTGTTTTTTGAAAATGTTGGCTCTGCATGTAAAAACTTAATTGTTTATACGTAATTGTGGTTTGCTTAAAATTTATTTCCCGGAAAAAATGATCGTCAAAGTCCATGTATTTTTCGGGTTATTGCTAAGGGGGGAGGGGGAAAGGTTTTTAAGGGGGAGGGGGTTTTACATGCACGTTTTTTCAAGTCTCATTTCTAATTGCGGTGGACACGGCGTGATCCACCTTTAGCCGCTGACTAAGTCCTGCTTGCTGCAGGACCTAGTGCCACGCCGTCCGAAACGGTAATGAGCAGAGGCAGAAGAGCAGCGCTGATTTATATCTTTCCAGGTTCAAGCAGAATGATGTGCAACCAAGTGGTATTCGTTTATGATGACTGGGTTTGGGAAAAGGCTTATTTCATGAAAACAGTGATAAAATTATCATTTGTACATTTTCAAAAAATTAATTCCAGAAAAAATGGAAAAATATTTATTTCAGCAGGTTTGTAATGTAATATCCTATCGATTGGCGTATTTGGATTTTAATTTCATCTATACATGACAAAGTTACAAGCGTTCAAAACCTAACACTCCTTCACCACACCTATTTTTTGATTTGCACCCCAGTATAGTCGACAAAGACGTAGTTCTACGTCAAAATATCACTTCCAGTTTTCATTCTGGTTCCCGGCCAATTTACGAATCACAAACGCGCTGCGTTCCTGGGCCCATGATCTGTGGAACGATGTGGATCAGGTGTATATAGTAATTGTAAATAGTAGTTATAAGTAGTCTCCTTTTTCAAATTTAAAACAAACCAATCCCACCAAGGTGATCATTCTTAAAACAGGCCTGATAGAACTAGGAACTGTAATTAATAATAATTGAAATTCAAAAGAACTAAAGTTGAAAAGACACATCTGTGTCACTTGATAAGTTATACATGTAAACCACACAAATTCAAGAAAAAAAGATCATTGTCCATTGTCTCAAAGAAAAAGATCGGAATCGGAAAAAAACGCGAAAGAAAGAACACAAACTTAAATTACGTTACTGATTTTATTAGCGACCTCTCTCGATAGTTTAGGTTTGATTGATAACGAAAAAAACACGTTTTGATGTTAGCTGTTGGCAGTACTAACACTGATGTGCGCTGTCATTTCTCTGTCGTTGATGACGAGGGGCGCACTGATAATTTCAACAGAAGCATCCATGCTTAGGGGTATTGAGGTGCAGTAAGATGGAACCGAAATCCAAAATTTCATCAATTTTGGTGCACTGGAACTATTTCAAATAAGTGCGATTACATTAGCAAAAATCTCTATCTTAGCGCCCCTCGGTGGTACCAACAATCAATACGAAACTAACGATTTTAAATTGGCTCACTACTTGACTAGCCTATTGGTCCCAAGCAAATCGACTAACGTACCCCATTCTAGTCTAAATTCCAGTACTACACTATGTTTGTTTTGATTCGCTATGAAAGTTTGACAGATAAAATGAGGGGCTAGTGGATTTTCCTATGTTTCGAGGGGTGAATCTATTAATTTGGGACCGAAGATAGTACCAGAGCCGAGCCAAAAAGTTGAGCACGTTTCTTCGAGACCTTCTGCTCTATGGTGATACTTTGTGTGGGAGTGAGCTGACAAAAATAACAGATTTAGTGTCAAAATAAAAAAAAATCTTAATTTAAAAATCGAGATGAATGTCTATGGGATCGATAAAAAAATCTTTGTTCTCAGAAAAACACGCTCGTTCAGATGATGAATAAAAAACGGCATGTTTTTAAACATTAAACAACCCAATTATCGGCATTATCGTTAGAACTTACTTAGATTTCTCTATTTCTCTGAACTGTATTGAAATTCTCCTAGCAATGCAATAGAATTTCTGCTCGAAATTCTCGTAAATTGTTGTTACATAATCCCTTAGAATTGTCAACTGAATTGCTTTTCATTTCTGCTCAAAATTCCTGTGAAATTATGTTCAATATTTTTAAGAAAATTCTTCGAAGTTTCTGACTTTAGAAAGACATTACAACGTGTCCCGCCCCTTGTACCCTTCCTGCTTTAGCGACTTTATGGATTCTTCTCATTGAAACACCGTTTTCATATACCCCACCAAAGATGGTCGTAAGCACACGTCGTTCGAAAACTCCCAGTGCTTGCAGGTCCTCCTCGAGCATCGTCCATGTCTCATGTCCGTCGAGTACTACCGGTCTTATCAGCTTCTTGTGCATGGTACACTTCGTGCGGAGATGAAGTTTACCCGACCTTAGGGTCTTGTGGAGTCCGTAGTAGGCACGCCTTCCGGCAATAATGCGTCTCCGAATTTCTCTACTGCAGTTGTTATCCGACGTCACCAATGAACCGAGGTACACAAATTCATCCACCACCTCGAACTCATCTCCGTCGATTGTCACATTTCGGCCAATGCGAGCCCTATCGTGCTCGGTTCCTCCAGCTAACGGATACTTTGTCTTGGACGTATTGACCTTTAATTCAACCATTTCTGCTTCAGGTTTCAGCCTGGTGTACTGGTCCGCCGCCGCCTGAAACGTTCTTCCGACAATGTCCACGTCGTCAGCGAAGCAGATGAACTGACTGGACTTATTGAAGATCGTGCCCCGCATGTTAAAGCCCGCACGTTTTATAATACCTTCTAGCGCGATGTTGCACGTGAGACAGAAAAGGCCATCGCCTTGTCGAAGTTCTTTGCGTGTTTCAAACGGGTCGGATAGCGCACCCGATATCTTCGCACAGCACTGTACGCCATCCATCGTAGCCTTAATCAGTCTCGTCAGTTTCCCGGCAAAACCATTATCGTCCATAATATTCCATAGCTGTTCACGGTCAATAGGATCATAAGCGGCTTTAAAATCGATTTGGTCTGTTGTCGATCGCCCGTCCACAAAACCGGCTTGATAACTTCCCACAAATCTGCTTGCTAGTGGCGATAGGCGGCGGAAGACGATCTGGGAAAGCACTTAGTAGGCTGCGGTGAGAATGGTGACGCTCGGTAGTTCTCACATTCTAACTTTTCACCTTTCTTGTATATTGGGCATCCCTCTTTCCACTCCTCCGGTGGCTGTTTTGTATACCAGATCCTGACTATCAGTCGGTGCAGACAAGTTGCCAACTTTTCCAGGCTGCCTTGTTGTTCTTTAACTGTTTGATAGCATCCTTAACTTCACTTATTGAGGGAGTAGTTACTTGTACCTACTTCGTTCGCCGCACCAATGAAACCGTTCCTCCTTGGCTCTCCGCCTCTGTGCCATTAAGGTGTCCATTGTAGTGCTGCTTCCACCTTCCGATCACCTCACGTTCGTCCATAAAGATACCTCCATCTTTATCCCGACATATTTCGGCTCGCGGCGCGTTCCACAAACCCTATGGCGCCTTCTGCTGCGCTATTAATGGATACTTTGAAATGTAGTTTAATGCTGAGCTAGGGGGGGGGGGGCACCTCTGGCTACGCCTATGATATCAACAGACTTGCACAATATTTTCAACCCCAATTGTTGCAGAACCCTTTTTTCTTCTAGACGGTGACGCATGTACTCTGAAGGATGGAAGTAATGGAATTTGCCAAGAAGCCACCCAATGTCCCTGGTTCTTGGAAACCATCGTCAACAAGAAGCGCTATAGCGAGCGAGTCACTTGCGGCTTCGACGGTGCCGTTGAAGTCATTTGCTGTAAATCGGACGCACCGGTCACATTCAAACCGGGAGTACGCAGCGGATTGGCCTGTGAGCAGGTACCAGCGGCTGACAACCGGCTAACGTTTCACATTATCGACGGAGAGGAAGTCGCAGATGGGGAGTTCCCCTTTATGGCTGCCCTGGGGTATGTAAACGAAGATCAGAATGGCACTTACGATTACCGATGCGGAGCTAGCCTGATTTCACCGAACTTCTTGCTAACGGCAGCTCACTGCATTCCGAGACAGGGTCGTCCGGTAGTGGCATTGCTCGGTACGTCTAGTCTCGCCTCGATGAATCCGGGAGTCATCGTTGGGATAAAGGTATGTCGGGCAGCTTTATAGATGTAGTTTATTTACACCGAGATATTCCAGGAGTTTTACCCTCACCCGGACTACAAAGCTAGTCGAAGCTACAACGATATTGCCTTAATAGAGCTGGAGCGTAAACTGGAGAAAGAGCCGGACGTTAACCCAATTTGCATCCACAATCAAGTAGAAGATCTGCCAAACAATGTTGTCCTAACCGCCGAGGGTTTCGGTATAGTTGATGTTGATAGTGAGTACCCTATTTAAATAAAATTTAGCAAAGAGGTAATATTTTGTTTTACATTTCAGAACAACTCCGCTCGCCACAGTTGATGAAGGTTAACCTGACCACGGTGGACATCGTCAAGTGTAATGAAACCTTTGCTGCCAATAACTTGCTGGCCAACAATCGAAGACTACCTCAGGGAATCATCAATACACAGTACTGTGCCACGGGGAGGGAAAACGTACTCACCAAACAGGTGGGAGATACCTGCCAGGGTGATTCTGGTGGGCCGCTGCAGATCATAGAGGACGACAAGTTTCAACTGGTAGGGGTGACCTCGTTTGGAAACGGATGCGGATCGAACACGCCCAGTGTGTACACCCGGGTGGCACGATACATCGAATGGATCGAATCGGTCGTGTGGCCAAATGGAACTTAAAGGTTAATTGATTCTTGGCTATTGTGTCATATCTTAAGTGAAAATAAACGTAAAATCGAGATTATTTGGAAAGACTGGACGAACAATATCTTTCTCATCACATCAGTTTCGTGATCAGCACAATTTATTTGTAGTTTCATTTCGAGAAGTCTTTAGTAGAGTCAACCGGTGGAAACTATCGATTTTAAATTGGATCACTACTTGACTAGCGTATTGGTCCCAAGCAAAAAATAACGTACCCCATTTTAGTCAAAATTCTAGTACTACACTATGCTTGTTTTGATTCGATATGAAAGTTTGACAGATAAAATGAGGGGTTCGTGGATTTTCCCAAAGACGATGTTAAATAAGAGACGTGCGAATACTGAAGCCAAAAGTTCTAATCGAACCGCCAAACGCGGTTCCAATCGAGCAATGTAAATAAACACGAGCGCTTCACGAAGAAAAGCGTGGGAAGTATTAAGATTGGGGTTGAATTTAATTGTTGAGGTTGGTTGTCTTTATTGAGGAGATTTTCAGCCAGACGCTGGTTGACTGTTGAGATTTAAATAATTATAATTAAGTTTGCGTATGAAAAGTGAAATTGGACAAGGAATATTATCATATTATTGTTATTCACCAGCTGTATTTTCGTTATGTTCTTACGAAATATTTGCTCCAGCACAATGAAATACTGGAAAATCCGATGAGGAATACGAAAAGGTATTTTATGGGGAATTTGGCGAATCTGAAGCCAGATCTCGAAAGTTAATCCGAAGCCGGATCCCGATGGGGAATCCTAAGCCGGATCTCGATAAGGAATCCGAAGTCGGATCCCAATAGGAAATTCGAAGTCGGATCTCGATGAGGAATTCGAAGGCGGATACCGATAGGGAATCAGAAGCTGGATCCCTATAGGGAATCTGAAGCCGGATTCCAATAGGAAATCCGAAGCCAGATTCCGATAGCGATCCGAAGCTGGATCCCGATAGGGAATCCGAAGCTGGATCCCGATAGGGAATCCGAAGCCGGATCCCAATTAAGAATCCGAAGCCGGATCTCGATGATTAATTCGAAGGCCGATACCGATAGGGAATCAGAATCTGGATCCCGATAGTGAATCTGATACCGGATCCCGATAGGGAATCTGAAGCCGGATTCCAATACGGAATCCGAAACCGGATCACGATAGGGAATCCGATGCCAGATCTCGATAGGGAATCCGAAGCCGGATCCCAATAGGGAATCCAAAGCCAGATCCCGACAAGGAATCCGAAGCCAAATCCCGACAGGGAATCCGAAGCTGGATTCCGATAGGGAATCCGAAACCGGATCCCGATAGAGTATCCAAAGCTGGATCCCGGTAGAGAATCCGAAGCCGGATCTCGATGATTAATTCGAAGGTGGATACCAATAGGGAGTCAGAAGCTGGATCCCGATAGGGAATCCGATGCCTTATCCAGATAGAGAATCAGAAGTCGGATTCCAGTAGGGAATCCAAAACCGGATAGGGAATCCGATGCCAGATTCCGATAGGGAATCCGAAGCCAGATCCCAATAGGGAATCCGAAGCCAGATCCCGACAAGGAATCCTAACTTGCCGATAGAGTATCCCAAGCTGGATTCTGAAAGGGAATCCGAAACCGGATCGCGGTAGAGTATCCGAAGCAGGACCCCGATAGGGAATCTGAAGCCGGATTCCAATAGGGAATCCGAAACCGAATCCCGATAGGGAATCCGAAGCCGGATCCCGAAAAGGAATCCGAAGCTAGATCCTGATAGAGAATCCGAAGCTGGATCCCGATGGGGGATCCGAAGCTGGATTCCGAAAGGAAGTTCTAAGAAGTTCTCACGAACTTAAGTCCTGCCCGACAACAACTCAGCAGCACGAGACTCCTCGAACTGTGTCTTGTGGTGGCAAGATATAAAGTCTCCACTTGCGGTAAAACAATATTTCCTCTTAGTCGAATGATGTAGGAGAAAAGAGCACATGAGAGAGCAAGCATGTAGCTTATAAAGTGTGGTTTCGAGGATTGAATAAACAGAAGTATTTTGTGATCAAACGAGTCCAGTCATGCACTTATTCAAAATTTCAAGAAAGACTATTATACTAGTAAATACCTCTCCAGTTCATGTCTCAGAGTCGGCGCACTACTGGGCAAACTGGAGTGGCTACGCTGACTCAAGCTTTCAAATTAACTGAAACACAGAGCGGATCAACTTAAACACTGTATTTCTTAAAGGTACCACTATAGCACTATGGTGTGGATTGTGTGGTGTGGTCGACATTCTGACACATACATTTGACGACGATGAAGACTACGACGACTGCAGTCCAGCGAGCGCTCGTTGCGGTTCCGGAATGATTCTGTCAATGGTGGATGATGAAAGGCCGATCTTGTCGGCAAGATGGCGGTGCCACCGCTCGCTGAGAATCCGAAACAATTCCAGGCGGTACCACTGACTACAGCGAGATGGCGGTTGGACTAGCGTGTCTACCGTACGTCGGCTGTAGTGCGATGGAGGTTGGTTTTAGCTTGTGGATATGGTTCCGAAGCACAGGCGCTTCCTTCTGACGGAGCCGGTCGACGACGGCAAAGCGTCCTCTGTCGAACCGGGAAGGGAAATTCTCCTTTAGTTGTCCTTTACGTTTAGGTCAAGGCAACTAAACCGCCACCTAGAACGTAGCGTGCAATGGCGGTCCTTGACTAGCCAATTTGATAGCGATTTGATTCATAGAAAAGGTCCTGAATCAGTGGAATTGGTGATTTACACTTCACCTTGATTCACTACTCGCACTTGAAAGCATACTCCACATACACTTCTGGTCTACACGCTCGCCTGAGATAAAGTGAACGATGGCCGTCCCTTAAGCATCGCGGCCGTGCACGCCTTATTCAGCAAGTGTTATACAAATTGAGTTGAATGCTCGATCACATGGTGCAAATTAAAAATATTGTATCGAACCTTCGTAATAGAAGGGTTACAAACTTCCAAGAAGTTCCCTGAAACTACTGTTTTAAATTAACTCTACTTGACAGGAGGAGAGTTTGTGGAATTTCTAGAATAAATTCATGGGAACTTCGGGAGAATACAAAGCTAATGCTGAGGAGCACTCGAAGTGAATTTTCAGGAAAAACCTTCTGGACCATGCTGAGGTCTCCAGAACTAAAATTGAAAGTTCCAAATATTTCCCAGAATTACTTTGCACTTCATTTTGGAATTACAAACGAACCAAAATAGAGCAGATTTGAACAAAATGGAAAAGACTGAATGTAGCCGCTGTTGTTGCTATGCCAATTATGTGTATCATAGCAACACGACCAAAACAATTACAAACAACTCCGTTGTAATTTCACCAAGGCTTGCTGGTGTTATTTTCAGCCAATCAGAAAGCGGTCTCCGTTTGACACCAAATTGGTCTCAAAATTTAACATGAGCTGACGCCACCCAGGCTAGGACCACTTATTTTCATTCTGTTTATCAATGACCTTGCTCTCCGCTTATCATCTGGCAAATCCTTCTTTGCGGATGACTTTAAATTATTCAATGTAATCACATCGGCTTTGGACTGTGCTGATATACAAAACGACATCGACGAACTGTTGATTTGGTGCGAAGAGAACGGGATGAGCGTTATCATAACTAAATGTAAAGCGATTTCATTCACACGTTGTTGCACTGTTTTAATTAAGATCGGCCCTACCGCTCTCGAACACGTAGATTCTATTCGTGACTTAGGTGTTATTTTGGATTCAAAAAACAAATTTCTACGGCAGCTGCAAAGGCATTCGCTATCCTAGGGTATATTCCACACCATACAACATTCATCACCGACGTTTATGCTTTGAAGTCATTGTATTACTCATTGTATGCTTCATTACTTTAATACGCCGCACCTGTACGGGCACTGCATCAATCCAAACAAATCAGCACATTACAGCGAGTTCAGAAATATTTCATTCGATTTGCTCTCCGTCACCTACCATGGAACGATGAAACACACGTTGCTTATTACTTGACCTGGAGACGCTCTCTGCCAGACGCTCGAAGCTGCAGCGTATCTTCATTTTCGACATTCTTACGGATCGATTGCCCAGCTTTGCGTCAGCTTATCAACTTCAACGCTCCATCTCGTTCACTCCGTACTCATGATGCGCTTTACGGCCAATTAACAATCCAAATGTCAATTGGTTTTATTCATGTTTTATGGTGATTTTATCAAAGCATGGCTGAGTGTATGTGGTTTTATCATTGATTTTCTCAAGTAAACTTAGTCTAATATCAAAGACCACAAATCAAGAAGACTAGCAGCTCTTCCATTTTCTCATACGAACGCTATGAGACAGGTACAACCGCGTCATCTGCCGCTCAAAGGTAAATGCTTCGAACGAATTTGATAGCAAAGATTACATCCTCAGAAGAAAGGTTTGTGTATTTGCTAATTTTTCTATGCGTTGCTTCCACCTCCACTCAAGCGCAGCGCTATTGTATCTGTCGCTTGGATTCTGGCAAAGTTGCCAGTCTTCTTGATATGATGTCTTTGCTAATATCTAATATTGGTTTTCTCCAGATTAACGAAGCCCGGTTGTCCTCGTGAACTATCGTTGCTCCCTGATGAGGCTCACACGTCGAAGCCAGATCAGCTCCTGGCAAGTCTCCCTCTATACTATATACTCTGCCTCCATTGACGATAAGCTCACGCTGGTCTGCCGGCTACTGACCTAAGCAATAGGACCACCACCGAAGAAAAACACGAATCCTGTAGTCGATTTTCTGCTCTCTTGGTCGCCTGCCCAGTCCGCATCCGAATAGACAACCAGTGACCATCCATCACCTGGTCCGAATAGTACCTTGAGCTTCTTTGTTCCATTAAAATACCTTACAACTCGTTTTGCAGCCTTCCAATCCATCTCACTAGGTGCACTGACTCTGCGGCCAAGCAACGAGACGCTGACCATCACATCAGGCCGAGAGTTGACGGCGATGTAGAGAAGAGCACCTACAAGGCTCCTGTATCTGCTTACATCTTCGAATGGCTTGCTATCACCGTTTGACTTTAGGTATCCTGGTTCCATTGGCTTCTTAGATGACTTGCACTCACTAAGGCCAAACTT